GGGAAACATGGGGGATGTGGTGGTGGGGGGAGGGGCTTGGGGAAACATGGGGGATGTGGTGGTGGGGGGTGGTTGGTTGGTCTCCCTGTGTGGACCCCTGACTCCAGCCCTGCTGACACCCTCAACAAACAGTACCCATGTGAAGGCAGTACTGACAGTGTGCTCTGACTGAAGCGACCCTCTCAGGGTCAAACCTGCCTTCTTAATGGGTGTTTCCGGTTTCTGGTCCACCGTGACGGGCTGGAGCTCCACATCAGCTAAGTGTTGCTTGTAGTAGCCGCGGGTGAAGTCGTCGCAGTCGTAGAGCAGGAAGCGGCGCCCCAGAAGGCAGAGCGTGTCGCCCACCCTGAAGTCTCTTGGGGAGCAGTACTCCTGCACCTCCACAGGGGACACTTCCAGGACACAGCTGGGGAAGGAGCCTGCAAGGTGAACCGGGTCATGTGGCCATGGGGTGGGGGGTGACACTGGAACTGTACTCAATGGCACACCAATGCAATATATCCTATAATATGTCAGCATAGTTCATCCATCTTGTCTGTCTTATTAAAAGGCAGACTGATGTAATATAAAGAATCGACTATCTATAATTTCAAAAGTATGCATTCCCCTTCTGTCATTCTCTTCTGTCATATTTCTAAAGATGTTTTTAGGTAGAAAGATCAGTGAGTTGGGATTTCACAGTAACCACAGACTGTTTTTGACGAGGAGCCACCCCTTTCACTATCAGCTGGGAAAACAGGCCTATTCTGTACATATGAAACCCTCATCCTCACCGGATGGTGATTTTATCGTCTTGGGAAGCCTCTGTCTCCTCAGCAGGACCGGAAAGGGGTCGCGGCCACTGTTGGGCTTGTGGACCTCTCGGATCTCCACCGAGTCATCTCCCAGATAGTACTGGATGATGACGGGCCGTACCTCGCCATACGGGGAGTCCTTCTCGTCCCACAGAGCAAAGAAGCGAAGCACCTTGGGAAGTGAGAGAAGGGGTCAGAGGTCACCATAACAGGGCATAGATGTGTCACATGATAGCTATGGCATTCTTTTCTCAAAGACACACAGACATCTGGAGTAAAGATCTTAGATCTCAAGTCGTGTATGATCACAGCAGTTGATAAACTATGTTCTTTGCTGTTAAAGAGTCCTAATCTTGTACCGACGAAAGAAAAGCAGACTGTTTTGGTTGTTTAACCACACATCAGGTATGTGGTTGACTTCCATGGATGGAGATGCATTACCATCTATCTGTAACATCAGCCAGGAGGAACGTCATGACGCAGTGAGAAGATGATCACCCCCAATGTGAGCCAGTTATCAGGTACTTATCAGGAATTTAATTTTGATGCTATAAATCGCAGGATACGAAGCTGCCTATTACTCACGGGGTGTAAAATGTCTCTGTAGATCTCATTAAAAACATAGCACCCCTCTTGAGGTAAGCAGGTTTAACATCTTGCCTCGTTAACAGGCTGGCTGGATAATGTTAGCTAATAATGGATGGTAATTGCTCTTAATGTGTTTGAAGACGGCAGTCCGCCTCGGGAATCTTTCGGGAGGGTTGGGGTCACCTTACGGTCCATGGTGAGAAACTGTCTGAGGCGGTCAAAGTCAGAGGGGGTGACGTGGGCCTGGGGGTGTGGGCGGCGGCTCTGGGTGTATGGGTCCGCGGGCATCGCCTCTGCTTCATTCAGCAGCACCCCCTGGCTCTCCAGAAACTCCTGTTCAAACAGTGACCTCATTACAGGAAAGGCCATGTCTATGTCTATATCTATTGCATCTTTGGGTCAAAGCTATGAAGAATGAAACCCTTCAGTGTCAAAATACAGTGGTACCTTGGTTCTCGAATTCACTAGAACTCAAATTTCTTGAAAGTCGAACAAACCAGTTTGACCTAGAACTCGATCTGAATATCAGAAGTCCAACCGTGAACGCTGACCTAATATAAATTGTACATTTAGGTGTAATTTTGGGGGGCCGGGAACCAATTAATTGGTTTTACATTATTTCTTATGGGAAAAACTCGATCAAAACTTGAACTTTTTAGGATTCGATTCGGAGTCCGGAACAGATTAAGTTATTAAGTTCGAGAACCGAGGTACCACTGTATTTATGTTCTGGACTATGCTGCATGAACAATATTACGCAAAAATCAAATGGTCCATCAAATGTGTGTGTATATATATATAATTAATTAATTACTATGATAGATCCTGTAAAGTCATCTCTAGGGCTGGACCATATATTGTTCCGGCATCATCATTGTGATGTCGCACATCAATCACATCACATTTGTCAGCACTGCTTTGTGTCTGTACTTTACAGCAACACCACCACTTTATTTGACACACTCCTTTGGTAGACAATAACAAGTTTTATTTGCCTATAGTTTAGTCAGGATAATCTCCTTTTTTGTTTTATAAATATTGCAGTATTACTTCACATATTGTGAAGTGACATTGCAATGTCATATCGTACAGCTCTAGTAATTTCTAGGGTGCCGTGTGGATTAGTAGGTTACGGTTCTGTATCCATGTCCATTGTTGGTTCAGATCGCATTTGATTGGCAGAGTAATCAGGGCTGCTGGATGCTGGGTGACTCTGCTCCGGAAGCTCAGCTTACTCTGCCTGGATGTCACTTTGTACAGAAGCACCTGCTACATAAGTGTAGCACGAAAATCAGATGAAGCTGCACAGGGTTGCGAACCCTATGTCTGGGTGCGAGTGCGGAGCACGTGGCCCCCATTTACCTGGGTGTGGGCGTCACAGCTTGCGAGGCGGTAGGTGGTTCCGTACACACACAGGTCCATGCCCAAGTTTAGGTCCTTCCAGTGGTAGTATCCATCCATGCTGCTCTTGGGCAGTCTCTCCCTTCTGACCAGCTTTCCCTGCGGCATTCCTGAGTTCTCCACCTCCGGTTCCGTAATGCACATGGTGTCATCCAGAAGGTAGTAGTACACGACCACGGGCCGCACCCGGTACTCCTCCAAAGGAGACAGCTGGATGTCCTGCCTAAAGTACCCATAAAAGCGTAGCACCTATGAAAAATGGTGCATTAAGAACAGAACACAGAAGAGGGGTGAAAAAAGGGGACAGAGATACCCATAGGGTTGCCACCTCAGTCCCATAAAATCCTGGATGCCCAGTCATTGACCAAAAATATTGCACATAGCGACACCTTTCCAAAGGTTGGTTTAGGTCTGTTTGATAAGAACATTGATAGGGACATTCTGTGTCCTGGAATGAAATTCATTTTTTTCCCGGACAAATGACGTGGTCCTGGAAAATCCTGGATGGGTGGCAACCCTAGACAGCCATAGGCTATGTGGGCTTTTATTCAAAGGCCACTGTTGGTACAATGGTCACATTTAAAAATCATGTCATTAACTGGTAGGAAATCCACCTCATTAAGTCAGACTCAGAGGCTGTGTTCAGGTTCAGATAAGTTAGACTTGGCAGTCATGTGAAAGACATTATAATGTGAAGGAAAAACTGTACGTTTAGAAATAGAAAGGAGATTTTTCCAGGTACATAACTCTTTAAAAATATTCAGTCTTTGGTACAGCCTTTCAGTCTTTATTTTATATGTTTTAGTAAAATCCGGTTAAAAATACCATTTAATGAGTTCACAGTTTGAGCTTGTCTGTAATACCTGGTGGAAAATAGCAGTAGTGTTAAATGTTGTATATGTTCAATACAGATAAAAATTCAAGGCAAACAGATAAGTTTAATTGCATTTCTTCAACACATTTAAGATTTAACCAGTGCTGTTACAGCTGTGTTCTTAACAAAACAAGGCCCATTTCCAACAGTAAGCAGCTTCCCTTAAACCTCGATAATTACATTTCCTCGGAGTGACCTGGACATCTACTGCAGAGATTTTGGAACAAGCTGCACACAGAGACAGCAACGGGAACTGAAACAGTCCAGCCGCAGACTGACTGTGTTTATGTTGTACAAAGCCTGTTTAGATGAGCTCGGAAGGCTCCGAAAGGTCTGGCACCAAAACATTTCCCAAATAAGTTAAAGCATTTTAAGTATAATGGCTAGTACATGATCGTGATGTATAGGGACCAATGGGCGGAACTGCTTCTATGCATTATTGCTTCGTTATTCCCCGTCTATTCTGTTTTAAAAAAAAACATCAGTAACACTTTACTTGACGGAGCACAAATACTTAGTAATAAGTCATACTACTTTAGTAAAAACCATGAAGAAATTTAGTTACTTGAGATAAAAGATGAGTCATCATTCATTAATGACGAACAAACATAAGATCAGTATTTAACATGTGTTATTCATGATTTGTTCTTTCGGTAGATCACAAAGGTTTACAATATTAAAAGATACCGTAACGAGTTTATTAACTGCTTGGAATAAAACATGCGTCACGATTCATTAATGATGAATTAACATGAGATCAGTATGTAACTAAGACTTAGTTTGTAGTTAATAAATACATAGGCCTAACTAATAGTATAATACTATATTATAGGTGCCCAGTCAAGTAAAGCATTACCAAAAAAAATTAGTGTGCGCAGTTCCTCCTAGTCTGTAGTAGGCCTAATTGTTTATTTATACTGTCTGACAATTAAATTTGTTTTTAATACCGTTTTCATAATCATAATGACGCTCATTGCATAACACTGCGGTGAAATTTTCGACACCGATACCTTTTTATCCAGTGTCACGTGAGCTGGAATAAAAGCCGCAACTGGCTCCGGACTGGGCCGATCGTAGGTTAGTGCTGGAACCGGGCTATGGAGGTGGGTGATTGCGCTCTGGGTCAGGGGGTCGGTCTGGAGGGGCTCTTTACCGATCCCAACCGTCGGCCGCAGGGGTAAAGCATAGCCGTTCTTGAAAGACAGAGTCTGTGGTCTGTGGAAGGCTGATTTCTGAAGCGAATCACAAAATATCCAGTTTCAGTTGTGTACATAGGTTGGAAAAGTAGTCAGTTAAACTGCTCGTTAGTTTCTTAGCTTTATTCATTATTGCTGGGTGTCTTGGGGGTACAGATACACAACACACAAAGCACTAGTCACTACAGTATATAAACTTGAATTAAACGCCACTTTATTCACTTCGATAACTTAAGTAAACTATATTAGTTACTTTGAAACGTTAAATTAATGAATAAAACAAATAAACTGACTAATAAAACGAGATTTGGACGAAAGGATTGTAAAACAAATAGACTTACACTAACATCGCGGAAAGAGTTCCCAGGTAAAAAGGGGAGTCCGTAGGATGAACGACCAGCCATGTGATTTAATACTCAGTCAGGTGTAAACGGCAGCCCAAGCTCCTAAAATACTGAACAGTAACCTACTTGTGGCTTGTCTCAGAGGGTTACAGTGTCATCCCAATTCCCCCTTCATTAAGTTGTGTGGGGTGTCCAGGGAAGCAGGGAGATAACGTAGTTGCCATGGTGAATATAAACAAATGACGTACGGCCATGGGCATGCCGCCTCTCCAGCGCAAAATGCGCGATTTAATACGCAGCCCTCAACTGGGAGATGCAGGTCTTCAAGTACACGAAATCTGGATGAATGAAAAACTTAACTACATAAGGAAGCGATTATGATTCTTTTATTGATTCAGATGAGGGCTTTGAATACCATTATGCGCAGGTATTTTTCTGTTTCATTTCCCAAAAAAACTAAAGAAGTTTGTGATACTTGTTTTTGACAGGGTAAAACAGTCATGGTAACATATGTAGAATACAAACTGAGCAGATCAGGTTCATTGTTTTAGAGAGTCATCACATGCAGACCTTACACCAGAGCCAGTGTGCGAAATACCCGTCAATATTCGGAGGGGTCCACATCTCCCTATTGTTGCGCAATACCGATCTTGGGACCCCCTTAAAATCCTCCTTTTGAGGCTTTCAGGGGGTCTCATGGGTTAATCGGGGGTGTTGGACCCACCCCCCCCGTATTTCACACACTGATCAGAGCCATAAACTTACCCATGTATATAATAATTTTGTGGCAAAATAAGCTATAAAACACAATTTTAATACTTTTCTTACCACCTGTAGGTAGTCATGATCAAAATATAATCATGTGATGAAAACACAACCACATAAGAAAAATACTGATCCAAAGATGCATGCAGCTCAAAAAGTAAGAGGCTTTGGTTTTTCTTCCAGCATTTGATTTCTTCCATTTCCCTTAGGTACTCCAGGTCTCCACCACCCACATCCCCACCCCCACAGTCCAAAATATGCTAAGGTGAACCGCAGTTACCAAATTGCCCGTAGGTGTGCATGAATGAGTGACTGGTGTGTGCGTGCACCCTGTGGTGGGGTGCTGCTCACTCCCGGGTTACCTTACCCCTGTTGGCTCTGGACCCCCCGCGACACCCTGAATAGGAGAAGCACTTACAGAAAATGGATGGATGGATGAAACTCTTTTTGTAAATGTCTACAATTATGGGAATTCATTCAGACATACAGCAGTGAGACATACCAGTGCAAAGAGACTGACGCGGAAGAGCATCTGTATCAGAAATTATTTACGGAATCTCTATCATCAGTCTCCACGTTCTGTATGACTGAAGCATTTGTGCCTTAATTCATGAAGACGTAACGATAGAAGAAATTACAATGTCAGGTCTGGAAGTCTATTAAAATGACAACAGAATCAAATAGGTCTCCAAACTGTTAACTTTTTACAAAACATGACTGTGTTACAGCTGATACCTCATCTCTTCTGTGACAGGTTCCAGCAACAGGTATGGATGGATTGAGTTGTGTTCTGGGTCAAAAAACAGTTGTACTGTACAAAAGCCTTGGTTACACATCTGAATATAAATCCCGAAGTTTACTGATCTGTGTTCATTTCATAAAATACACATTGGTTTTATAATGGCATGTGCATTACTGGACAGAAGTTAATTAATGGTGTGTTCCATTTTAACTCAGAAGTCATCATTTCCCAGTTCCTAGTCAAAAATTTCAACTGGAACGCCCCCCTGAAGTCGGAATTCAGACTCGGAAAGTCGGAGGAACCTCTACAACCCCGACCTCAGAATTCAAGGTGGCTGCGCCCTTCATCAACAGAGGTGAAAGTTGCATAATTTAACAATGGCTAACAATGAACCTGGCTGGAAAAGGTATTGCTAAATCAAGTTATTCAGTTTAACTACCATGCATTTAATTAACACAGCTGTTCAAATTCACATAAAATCTTTTACGGTTTAAAACTGATCTTTAGCTATGAATAAACAGCACACAAAAAAATTATCAAAATCCTCATGCATTTATTATTGTTTGGAATATTGCTTATGAAAGAAAGAACCAATACTTTAATTTGTGAACAATTTTATTTTTGGTCTCATTGGTCAGCGTTCTGCATATATCAAATCCCATTTCATTTAAAAACACAAAATGCCGTTAATACAGTCACCATGTTGAAATGTGGCATTACGGTTCATCTTGCGTAGCCTTACAGGATTTTACTTTGTCACAAATCTGCTGTAGAATTCATGGCTAATTTTAAACGTTTTTAAAAAAAATGTCTTGAGAAAGGTTGTAAACAGCTTAGATCATCAAAATTCCACTTTGGAGATTGTGTTTGGGACACAGAGGAAAGACATTTTGAAAAATCGCACCACTGGGAGTAAAAAGGACCAGGAGGTTCAGACCAGACCAGCCCAAGCTTTACAAAGGTTGCTCAAGTTCATGTAGATTTTACAGGTGAATGAATATATCCCAAACTTTATGGAAAAATTGCACCGTCCGATATAACAAGCATCTATTACTTGAAGATAACCTGACGAGTGGCTGACAGGGATCCTATACATGATCAGACACCTGAAGCCCTCTGAGACGTCTTCATTTTTCTGCTGGGGAAAATGGAGGAGGTCAGGATCGCGATTCGGTGCCAATCGAAACAAGTGCATGGCCTCCCTTCTCCCCGCTGACGTGACCAGCCGCTCGCACCTGACAAAGGAACTATTGTGCACCCAAAAGCAAGCGTTTCTCCTCTAGCACAGAGGTACCCAACCGGCTGTGGTCAAACGTCACACTGTGCATCCTCCACAAATCACCACCCCTGCTCCCTCTTTGAGGTTTTAAAGAAACTAAGAAAGTTAATATTATTAACATCATTTTTTAAAATTCTGACACATCTCAACCACTGAAACAACTGCCCTTATTAGGAAAAACAAATGGACATACACATCCCTGAGGTGTCAGGCCAAGCTTTACTGCTGTATAAAAATATTTCGGAACGTGAAAAATAAACCTATTAAATACCAACTTATATTCAGGTAGGGCTGAGATGAATTTATATAATGTTTTTGGTTGGTAGCTAAGGCAACAGTCTTTTTTAGGTTGCTGTCCTATTAATGGCCATTTTGAAGACCGATGCCCTGTAGCAGCCTCATGTTGCTGCTTCATTTTTAATTTCCCCAACAATTAAGAAAAAAAGTCCTCAGATTTGTCTCCTGAATACTGGATTGGGAGCACTGCTTGGCAAGCGGTTCTCCGGACGTTCCCCGCGGGCCTCTTGGAACCCGTTCCTTCACAGACCGACGTTGGTGAATTATCCTTCCGTCGTATGAGGCGTGGGGGCCCTCAGCCACGGTTGCGCCCCTTTCTGATCAAACGACGGCGGACGAAAAGACAGTCGCAATCTTCGGCACCATTCTGTGCCTATGCCTCGAGCTCCGGCAAATTGAAGTTCAGAGGTGAAGCTTCCCGAAAGCTTATTCTTCCTGTGCAAGGGTCGAGGAGGGGGGTAGTCTTCCGCACCTCCCGGGAGAGCAGGCCCAGAAGCATGTGGCCCAACGTGGCCCAGTTGGCAGCACCGTCACCAGGCTAGTAGTAGCGGTTGAGGCTGCGTGTGCCGGGGATGTCGGGCTGCCCGTTCATCCAGATCTCACGGATGATGCGCTCCCGCTCCTCCAGCCGCTGCGCGCGCTCCAGCTCCTCGGCCGACGTGAACACGTTGGTGTGCAGCGTTCGCTCGAAGCGCCGGTGTCGCCGTGCTGACAGGTCCGAGCCCGAGTCCCAGTCCGAGTCACTGTCACTGGTGTCGCTGGAGCTGGGGGGGCCTCGGGCTCGCCTCTGGGGCACCCGGGGGCGACAGTCCGTGCGGCAGGAGATCTGAACCACCAGGGCGAGTAGCGTGAGGACGAGACCCAGGCAGACACCGCACACGAAATAGAGGGCGGCGCGCTCAGGGTGCTCTGAGGGAGGAAGGGGGGGGGGGGTTAGGCCATCATTGCATACAAACAGATCAACAAGCGCGGAGCTCACTGCAACGAGAGGCATGTAAGAACTATAGCAGAAAACCATCGACAACATTACATATACAAACAGACACTCGGTGTTTCAATGATGATAATCGATAAATCTATCGATAAATTAGCATGTCTCCAGCAATGATAATCAATAAATGACTTGGACTCCTATGACAATCCCAGAGTCACCATGCTCATCGACAGCAAGGAATTTTAGAAAGAAACTTTAGGACTGTAAGACAATCAGTAGCAAATGTTGTGTGAGACACCAGAGGATGACTGTACAAGATGCAGCCAACTGATGAAGCTCTTAGGCATGTAAAGGGTTAAGCTTTGTGAAGTAGGCTTTGGGTTAGACCTGCTGGTAACAGTTAAAGAAAAGCTTAGCAAAGGTTTACAGGCGATAAGTTTTTATTCTAGCAAGAGTGGGAGGAGATTAACCCCGCCCCCCCGAAAAAAAAACTAAATACAAATTTCCACCTCATGTGTGAGTTGCCCCAATAAAAAGAGACCAGACATCACCTGACTTTCATATGGAGACTCTGAGGCTTTGACTCATTAGCATGACGTGTGTTTAGTCAGTGTCTGCTCAGGGATGCCTGATGGGCAACGCTCCCACACTCAGGTCTGCAGCTTATTTAATATAATATTTAAACCAGTTCTGACGATTACGTGGCTCTGGAGACAAATGCATGCTCCCCTGTGCTTCCAAACTGACCTTGATTAGAGTGGACAGGCCTTCTGCAAGATATTTACTTCACTGTCACTCTTATTACACATTAAACCAACCTGTTTTATTAAAGTACTTCCGATTTAACAAAAAAGTTAATTATTATAAGGAAATTGTAACATATTATAAATTTTACTATGTAATTTTTGCATTTTTCGGTTCCTCAATGGTTCCAACATTTTTGGCAAATATCACTTTGTCCAAAACATTACTGGTTGTCTTATGTTTTAGTTACACAAAGCTCCAACACAGTCTTTTACATAGGATTCCGAACTGTCAAGCTCTCTGGAATCGCCGGTAGGATTTAATCGTTAGCCAAAGTTCTGTTTAGCTAATTAATTAACAGCCCATGGCAGGTCCCCAGAAGCAAAACCCTGCTCTATGAAGCAGGAAGCATAAATCAGCTGGTTTGAGCTGAGGCCCGTTAGCTTCATGCATACCTGCTAAGTAGGTGTAGGCTGCCAGGGCATTGCTGACCAGCGCCATCTCAGTGCTGAGCGCTGTGGAGTCCACGCCAGGCCTCAGGGTCTGCGACGGGATCTCGTTTCCATTGCCCAGAAAGGTCTCGTCCACTGAAAACACACCCGACTTCCTCCCTCGATTCTTCTTCCCTGTGGGTTTCCAGGAAGGATGTTACACATTCACTCTCACGCGCTGAAATACATTGCTGCCTCATCAAGAAGAGGAACTATTCACTTCCACATACATGCATGGGATCAGCATCAAAACATACACATAATCACTGAGTCTGTTTAGTTTTTGTAACAACTTCGATTACTAATTTTACCCATATCATTCCATATTAATGGAATCAAAATGGAACTAAAGAACAATGTATTGACTTGGAAAACATCATATTTTCTGATTTATATTTTTACTGACTTAATTTCTCTGAATTATTTTTTTTTTACTTTATTTAATTTATTTTATAACTTTATTTCTCTGAATTATTTATCTGAATCTCAAATGTATTTGTAAATTCACATGCTATTCACAACGAATACTATGAAAGATGATGCTTTACAGGTAGTTTGCTTAAACATCTCATTAAGTAACAGTTGTAATTATTGTGTTCATTTCTTCCAAAGCTTTCATCTGACTGAAAGTCTTCTTTAAATATGAAGGTCTGCATGTATGATATTTACAAAAATAACCAGGATTACACTTTAACATATAGTAATTACTTTAAACATGTCTAGGTTTTGTAAACATTTGTGAGTTAAACAAAGGTTGATTTTTGAAGCTGAGGTTAATTGAAAAGTCTAAGATTCGGAGGGGTATTTGAAAGGGCACAGTAATTCTAAAACATGTTGTAAACACACATCCTTCTGATTGCCATGCTCTCCAGATCAACCAATATTTTCCCTTCCATTTGATCCCAACAGGTTATAGACAGGCAGTCCTCCTAAACTGAACAAATACACACTCAGGCGCTGAGCGACAGGGGTCGACAGCAGACACTTTGGTGAAAACAAGTTTTGCCTGTAAACACAAGGCCACAAACTAAAACAGTAAGCCTGAGACGTGGGTGGAGAAATGAGCTCTAATTACGAGATGTGGATTCCATCTACCCAGCAGACACAACCGTGCCCGCTTGGGGTCGATTGGTGTTCCCATCCAGACACATCTCATTTTTACATGAAGCTCACACTAGCTGATCTCTGGGAAAGTCACGAGTGTGACACACACCCCATATCTGTAAGTATTTCAGTACAATTTTAAGAAGAATGTTTAATGAAGTAATAATAGGTATAAATTTACATGTAAACAGTTTCAATTATTGGTAATTACATAAAATTCTTTACATTTTAAGCAGCACCAAAAGAATGATGGCAAATTCCTCATACACCGTGGGGTGATGAACTGACTCTGACACCGATTCTAGTTCTGAGTACACAGGGTATGAACATATAAAGCACAACACAGCTAAACCACGGGTGAATATCTCCCGGCGCCACAGATAGGATTAATTAAAGAGAAGCCTTGACAATAAATTACTTCAAATCTCGCTGTAAATTCCAGCCAAGCTAAATATATAATATTTAAGTCATTATACACTGTAATAGTGGCCTTAAAAGATACTTCACATATCCCAAAATTATCGGTAAGCTTTCGGAATGAATGGTAACTTTACAGACACTGCAGTCTGTTATAACATTCTGTGTGGGAGTAGGGAGAGAGAGTCATGTGACTGGCTTTATGCTTAATGATTGGTTTGCCCCCTCCTCACCTCCAGCATCTCATATCCAAGCACCTCAGTACTGATGCCAATCCCAAGACCCCTAATCCCCGTGTGTGGGCTATATTTGGCCCAGATAAGTTTATTTCTCCAGCCTGTCAGCCCAGCTCCCTTGATTTCTGTGTTTATGTTTGTGTCCTGTTGGCTCCGTCCTGCACTTCTCGTCATTTATTCCCAAAAAGGAGAAATGTTTGTGCAGCCTGCTCCTCTCGGCCAGGTCCCAGTGTGATGCGGTCCTGTTTGTCACACCGATCCAAGTCTGAAACTTACCGCTATCTGAAAGTTTATTTCTTCTCTTTAAAATACTGTGTATCCTGCCAAAAGTGACCTCGAACGTTAATCCTGAAGTTTCCACCACTTTACAACCTCGAGCCTGAGAGCTATATATGAAGCAAACAGGACATTTACCAAAAAAGAAGAACACTGTGTTTGGCCCTTATGCCATAAACAAGGCATAGGACATAGAACTTGTGGATAATACCCCCCAGGGAATTTTCTGGAAGACTGGCACGTGTGCTAAGAAACATGTCTTTAGAGAAAGGGAAATGGGAGTAGAGAGATTCTGCGTGAGTGTTATGGCTTCCAGCCAATCCTGGTGCGTGTGTGCGTGCTTTTTACGGGGACGATGGGCCTCCTCGCCCTCGGACCCATACAGAGGCCCTGAGATTAAGGTTTCCCTCCTTTAATTCATGAGTCATTGAGGTTCCCGCTGGACGCCGGGCCCCTCAGCTACGCGGAGTTCAGTTTCACATGGCTGACGTGCAGGATGACCACTACCCCGTAGTTTGCGCACCTTTCCATTACTATACCCACGTCGGAGGTTATATAACATGTGTGCTTTGGACTCTGTCCATCTTCAGTTCCAGTGGCGCCAAAGTTTCCTTCACAGGTGCTAGATAAAACCTCACGGGAGATGAGATCCAGCAGGTTTGAACCCAGAACCCCGACAGCGAAATCTCTCTACAGATTAGCGTTCAGCCGGGATTGGACGGGAGAGCCTACCTGGCTGAGGGTCAGAGGTCACGAGCTCAGCTCTGTCGAGTGGGGCACCGTCTCCTACGATGTTGAGGTCATTGGGATGGAGGGGTGTGTTCCCCGTTTGCTCGGTTGCGACGCCCTGGAGCAGCTTCTTGGGGACTGGGGGGAGAAGGGGGGGGGTGGAGGTGAATCACTGTGGAATCACAGACCCAGGGTTGTGATGTTATTGATAACTTGCCTGTATACTCCCCACCCTCCCCATGTATCCTGTGAGTCAGGGATTGTGCACCAAACAGATGTCGGGGGGGGGGGCAAAAATTCCTTCTGCACATGTTGCTTCTGAGCTGACCACACATGGAGCCTCACCGAGGATCCGCGGCCTGCGCTTGTGCACAGAAACGACCATCGACAGCACAGCGGACAGGTTACAGATGCCAAGGGGTTCATGCTAGAGGAGCGGTTTGTTCGTGCACAAAAAAAGCTCCCAAGTTGAATTTAGGCTTCACTCCAAACCCTCTAATAAAATCCTAAAAACAAACCTCCTATAGACAGTCCCCAGGGCCCCCAACACACTATTCTTATCTTAGTGGGAACATTGGGAGTATTTACGAGTGAAGTATTAACAGTACACATGACATCAGAAGTCTTTTAGAAATAGCTTGTATGATTCTTATCTCAGAGAGTATTCCGAAAAAGGGGGTGTTTGTAAAATCGAGGGGGTTGACATGAACGTCAACCCCCATCAGATGACTATGACATTCATTCAGTCAATCCATCCACGCATCCATATTCAGTTCCTTATCCTGGTCTGGGTCCTCTGGGGCCCAGGGGTCTATCCCAGACAGTTCAGGGCATAAGGCTGGGGCACAGCCTCTGCTGGATGCCTGTTCATTCACTTGAGTCTTATTACCAGTAATATATGATTGGTTTTTGGTTTTTCTATACATCCCTAGAAGATGCCCCCAGACCCTGCTGGTGCCAGAAAACAATGCTTTCTTTTAGCTTCCTGCTTAGCATCCTGTCCAACACATCTCTGCTCCATCCTCTCAGGTGGCACACACACCATTCCCGCTAGGACAAGCCGCACAAGCTCTAACCACATTCCCTAAATGGATTCCCATGGAGATCTCGTAAGGCGCATGAAACGGTCCGGTATTTTAATATTGCAATGCATACCAAGTTCAACAGGATGAACAGTCTAAAAATGAAGAAAGTGCATGAATTTAACCAGTAGGCACTGTGACTCTGTACTGGTTACGCAACTGAAACTTGGATGGAGAGACAAAATTTATCAGCAAGGAGAGATTTCATTAAGTGCTGCATATTAGTGTTCTATGTTTTGTTATTTGTGCGCATATAAAAGGTTAAATAAGGATGGGGAAGCGTGTAGGGGATGTTTTGGTAGACAGATATTACGCAAAAAGGCTGACTTTAGCCTGCCTCCCACAAGGAATAACTAAATATGTCTGCCTTGGTTTCTGTGGGAAAATCGGCCGGGTTGCCAGTGCCAGTCTCGATCTCCCGCCGGAGTACGGATACGGTTATCCAAGAATCCAGTGTGACAGTGTCTTCGGCTCAATAGCTGTTTCGGGTACATGGCACTCATCCATCATCTATAGCTACTCATCCGGCACAGGGTTGTGGGAAGCCCAGATCTCAGACAAACCCGCCATCTTACTATTACTCAGGGAAAGGTGGAGCAGATATGTGAACAGAATTATATTAACCATCACACTGGGGAATCCAGAACATCCCAAGTGCAGTTTAAATGCTACAAACCATCTCAACACCAGGGAAAATGTTACAATCATGAGTGACATTGGTAATTACCAGATTCACATCAATTCCCCATCTCTTAAGAAAAAGTTCAATTAATTCAATTAAGACCCTCCAAAAAAAGATCTAAAAAAAAAGGTTGAAGCCATGTAACCATGAAGGGAGGAAACATTTATGATGTCTGACAAACTTACATTCCCGTCATAGTTGAACACTGGAAATGTGCAACCTTTCACCTCATTTCACGAATGTCAAAATACAACAGGCCATTGTCCTCTGAGACCTCCAAAGTAGACCCCAGAATAGCCCAAGGACACACCCACAATCCATCGGGTCAAGGACTGCTCCGTCCTCACGCCAAGGCACGGCTGCCAAAACACGTATCCAAAAAAAGCCGGCGAAGACATGGCTGAAAGCCCTAAAATGATGGATGGATACAGTCCAGAGAAATAAGCCAATCAAAGCGCGATTGTGTGACAAAGAGGAACAAGCTTGGGCGGGCGGGGCGGCTCTTGTGTCGCGATAATCCTTTGGTAGCCAATTTGTAGCTGCTTCAGAGAAGAAAGGCAACGTCGGCTCTCTGGGAGAAGATCAAAGGGATAAATCCCGCACTAATTTAAGACCCGCAGACAGAACAGGTGCATCAGAATGCGGCTGCTTTCCCTTTGAAGCGGGAACAATGGTAGGCCATAGTACTACCACAGATCATTCGGAGTACACAGGCATGAAGGCTGGGATGGCCGAGGCAAGCCCTCCCATTTCCAAAGTAAACAAACCGAGGGAAATTACAGGCTGCCCTCAGTCGTCTTCAAGGGGACGGGATGCTGATTAGCGAGGGAGGAGTCCCCTCCCCCACTGAGGATGGCCTAAAGGCTGTTGATTAGCGCTAACTTCACACACGTGTTGCTGAGTTCCGGAAGGCTGCCGATTCAACCACGTGCCCACAGTCAACATGTCACCACAGGATATTAGAAACTGCCCCCCCCCGAGTAGGACAGGACCACTACCCCCCAGCTGCATTGGCTGGTTTATTTAAGTTCTCAAAAGAATGTGGATTAAGACCAAACGAGGGATAGGGCCAATGCCAACCACGAAACCCAAAGCAAAACATAGAGCTGGACTTGCTGAGCTTGTACAGAGATGAAGACATTAGAGAAATCATCTTAAAATCCCAGTGGATGAATGGATGGATGGGTTGATGGATGGATGAAGGAAAGTTGGATGGATGGAAAAGTAGAAAATATTTTTAATCCTTCCAATCAATTAATTAATAGACATAATACTAAAACTAGAATTCCAGGATAGTCAGAGAGTAGTTTTCTTAGCACAGTTTCATGTAAGATAAACATTCAGTACAGTACCAGAAGAGCACCAACTGTTAGCAAATCAATGCATATAGAACTTATTTCTGGAAGGTTCAATCTTCATCCTGAGAAGAAGAATGAAGGCTTCATACCTGAAAGACATTATTATCATAAAACAAACCTGCTTCACTCTGGTGAGATATCCCACTATCACCATGACGACCAAAGATGGAGCTCGATGCTGCACCTGAAAGTGGCTCCATAGGTAAGATGGCTTCATGGCTCCCCACAGCCCCGGAGCAGGGATTAGCAGGCTATTAATGACACGAGAAGAAAGAAGCAGCTGGCTGCAGTGTGCGTGAGATGTATAGAGCCTAGCGGGGGGCCCCCAGAAGATGAAAGGCCCCCCAGCACAGCTTCACCCTAAAACCCGAGACAGTTGGAAGAAGCCAGAGCCATTGCGTGAATCCATTATTATACAGGAATGGCAGTAATGGTAGGGCTGCAATCTCCATACGAGGCAAGAAACAAGGATAAATGAGGCCGATTCTCCTTCTGGCAGCCTGACTCCAAACGGAACGACACGTTCTGGTACAGCCCATCACACCATGGCTAGCGCTTCATGATCAACGACAGCTTCAAATAAAACCGCTCTAGGTCATCGTCATCCTTAACGAAGGGGTGGAGTATATGATCGCAAAACAAATATGTCCAAAGCAAATTGGCCATTAGAGCTTCATCGTGGGATTAATCACCTTAATACCTCTTTAACAGGTACTGCCCCAAAGCTACATGTGGAAAATCTGAAACGATAACTACTTTCACGCAAAAACTGCCGAAGAAACAGTATAAAACAGATGGATGAAAGTGCTTGGCTTTATGGGCCATGCTGCGATTTTACTCACGCTCCTGAATTGGGCAAACAGGTGGCTAATTGCATTCCCGGACTCTGCATTAGAGTTCACCCATTAAAAAAAGCAGACATATGCTATTTTTCCCTACACCTCCCCCATCCTAAAAATCACAAAGAGCAGACCAGACAGCCAGTTCCTACAGTTCATACATCAACAAGATTTTCTAGTGTCTAACTTTAAAAACATGCTCTCCAACAACATTCCGCCATGTTTACTCACAGTTCAAATAACCAGACTATTCTGGATGATTTTTTTGGCCAATTGGTTCTATTTATACAGTACACTACACAAAGGGAAAAATGGAACATTGGCAAAGCAAAATATTTATTTCCCATTCTAATATGACCTTGTCCTACAGCAGAAGTTTTCAACTTGGAGCCTGTGACCAGCGAACAGGAGCCAGCAGTGAACCTGCATCTCCTGTCCTCATGGCTGGGTTACTTAGTGGCAGGGGGTTCCTAGGTCTAGTTCATCGCCATTTGGGGTCTCTGGTTCAAAAACGAGTTAAAAATCCCCGCCCCACAAGCATCCAGCCTTTTTCCAGTGGGCCCAGATGTTGAGGTGTGACGAACACACCATAATTAACCATAGGCATCGTAAATAAATCTTAAACTTTAAATAGCAGTGGGGGGTAATTTTTACTTTATTTCTATCTGTGGCTCATTCAATGTGACAGTCCCAGACCAGTGACCCTTTCCCACAATCCCTCAGTGCTCCCCTTGTCACGGTTTGCATTCTGCCTGGCCCGGGAAAATAGTTGGGGGGGGAACCGCACTGCAATGCTGGACCGTGAAACCGCGCACCCTGCTAGGCGGCTGGCAGGCGGGTGGACCACCGCATTCCGGCCGACCGAGGCGCTCTGAGGACGGCCGACGCAATAAAAACACAACCCACACGCCGGCTCTGGCTTCCGCTGTGCCTAATAGATGGTGTGCGTAATCGTCAACCAGTCATTAAGAGGCCGTCTTGGAATGTGCTAAAAACGGCAGCTAGCGCACTATGGGCATGAGGGGTGCGCGATTGCCGCACTTGCATGGCGGGAAACATGGCTATAGACACCCAAACCCAGAGCAGCAGATCTTTGGGACCCCTCACAGTCCTCAGCTACATGTGCCTGGACAGAATAAGCTATATATTCACAACAAGACTGGAGTTTTTCACGTTATAACTGATGTAACGTTATTATCAGCCTATGTTTAATAACTCATAATGATGCTGCATATGTGGCATCCGTGGGGACTTATAAAAGTGAGATAACGGCAGTACAAAAACGTCCTCAGATTTCATCTGCTTTACTCGTCGGCACGGCCAACCTTTCTTTTCAGTAAAAGTACTAAAAACAACATGTACTTGCGGTAGCTGACCAACCCAAAGCAATAAGTGAAGGGTCAGTTGGGGATTTCAGAGCGCTAAGCACTTTGCTGGCCTGACAGGACTCCACTCTCCCCGTAACA